TCAATATAGTAATTGGATTTATTACTCAACAATCTATCTTGTTAAAGTTAAAATTTCGTTGTAAAAAAAAGGGTTAAAGTATCTTTTTGAAATATCCCTTAGCTTTCTAACTATATTATAACTGTGCCATTACTATTAAATTTAATATTACTATTATTATATAAACTAAACAACAATGTTCCCTAAAACTACTCCACCATTTATCTTTCATAGCATATATTTGATGCAACATAATATTCATATTAAAAATTTTTTTAACAAAATATATAGTTCGAGATACATAGTGTTGGATACATGATGGTCAAAATCTAGAGTATCTTCTTGGGATATATAGGGATAACCAAAGGTTTTGAAAACGTGAGATACCTAGTGTACACGATTATTTTTTGTTAAAAATATTTTTTGTCGCAATAAAAATATTTAATAACCAGTAGTTAGTCGGTCTTACGGGCGGAACGTGAATTATGTGACTTAAACTATTTATTGTAAACTATTGTTGTTTGTTTCTTACATTATCACTTGGAATTAATGATTTCGTGAATGTTTTTGGATGCTTACAAAATTATGATCCTAAAATAGAAATTGGTGAAAGATTTTTGGAATAAGAACTTGATGTGTTATAAGTGAGATTGTATGATCACGAAGTGAATTGTTTTATAAAATATAATCAACTTAATTAGTATATATTAAGAGACAAATCGAGATAGAGAAGCAGTTGTTGGCTTGACCTGATTACCTATTTGACAAATTACTTATTTCGGTTCATGTCTAGCCTTACTAACTTTATTGATTTTACCAATATTGTTATGTATTCCGTAGGACTTGTTTGCAAGGAAAATCTTTAGAATTGTTTTATCATGGTGGCACTTCTAAATTATAAGGTCACATAGTTTATAAAGGTCAACAAAATTATGGTCGATTACTCACACATATTGTATTCAACATATATTTTTGATCTTTTGCTTCTTACTTTCCTAGCATCCAAGTTAATGCAGTAAATAATTATTGTATTCAAATTCGATCAATCTAAACGCTAAAATGACATAAATTTCATGAAAACTATAATTCTTTCAAGTTGTAATTTGTTTTCTCGTGCATTTGCAAATATAAATGTCAAATTTTGTTTTAACAAACAAAGGACCTATTAATTCTCCTTATTTTCATTATTCATCTTGAATCTCATCATGATGGCTCTTAAATTATCAAATCGGTAAAAGTAACTAAAGAATCTCACATACTGCTCATCAAAAAGCAAGGACAATACTCTGGTCCTCTTCTTCTCCAACCCTTGATGATTGTCTGAAACAATAATATAAAAACTACCAAGTGACAACAAATAACCGTACTTTGTGAGAGTCTAATTTCAGTTGTGAGGATCACAATATTTTCATCGTTCCCGATATCTCCAATCAACACAAATTGGCCAATGCATAGAAAGTTGAAATTGCAACTCTTCAGTACTAACATTCTGATTAGTATTTGTGAAGCCTTCTTTAAACTTCACAAATCAAATATAAATATTTAGATAAAATCCAATCAAAGATGAGAGAGTAATACTATAGGGAAGTTTTGAGTATGAACAACAGAAATGGTGCAAGCCAGGAACGGAGCAAAATTTGATGAATTTTTGGTGGAGACTGGAGACCCAACCTGGCACAAACTCAACATGTGATCCATCAACAGATATAAGTTTCTTTATCTCTTTCTTCTTTGAGGCTGCAGTAATCTGTGGATCCAGAAAAATTTATTTTATTCCCCAGGTCAAAGCCTGAATCTGCAGTAAGCTTTGAGTCTTCTTTTGCTCACCTTTTAATAGTTAGAGATGCACCGCCTGAACGGAGGAAAAATGCATTGAAGGAGAAAATCAGGCTTGGAGTGGGTCCTTGAGACGACGCTGGGCTTTAATCACTGGGCTATACTTCATTTAAAATCGTAAGCGGGCTTTAATCATGTCTTAGAACCTTTCGGGCCGTTTTACGATTTTAAGCGTTTTTACGATTATTAAAGAAATCGTCCTTGAGACGACACTGTTTTTTGTAAAATAGTTCAAGTTACTCATATAGCCTTGGTGTTATGCGAACCGTTGCCATTTTATACGATCAACTTGAACTTTTACGAAAAAACAAGTCTTCGCGGTTTTTATCATAAAGTTTCAACGATAACTCTGATTGAGACAAAACAATAGACAGTCTGATCGTGGTTCGGAGTATAATAGAGCCGAGGACTTGGGATGTCATGTCCTACTCGCCAGCAGGCAAGTTGAATGGCACGGTCCAACTCTCCCGGTGGCGAGTTGGATGGCACAGTCCAACTCACCTTGTGGTGGTTTGGACGAAGCGTTCAACTTGCCACCGAGCGAGTTGGATAGCAAATGAGGTGTTCAACTTGCCACCGGGCGAGTTAGATGGCACAGTCCAACTTTCCCAGTGGCGAGTTGGATGTTGTGTCTAACTCGGCAGCGGGCGAGTTGGTCGGTTCGGCCCAACTCGTCCCGCGAGTTGGACATCGTGTATCCAACTTTTTGTAAGTGTTTTCCGATGTTTTGATTGTTTGATCTTATAGCTCGGAAGTACTTATTTGAGGATTGGATGATCCTTTTGACATATATTTCCTCTCTTTTTTTAAATTGTATGAGGTCTATTTAATTGTTTCGTAATTTGATACGAGTTTTTCGTGACTTCGTATTTTTGTAGGAAGTGTTTTTTTAAATCGTATGAAGTCTTTTTAATTGTTTCGTAATTTGATACGAGTTTTTCGTGACTTCATGTTTCCGTAGGAAGTGTATAATTTTTTCTTATGCTTTTTTAAAAGGCTGTAATCATCAAGCTTTGGTAAACTCCACTTTAAAACTAATCTTGCGATGGCATTTGCACATGTTGGAGGTAATGATTAATGATGAATTTGGCTTGAACTCTATGGATTAACACCAAAGAGATAACTATGTAGTTCTAATCCCTAGGCGATTGGCAAGAATTCAGAAAACTACAAATTTGATTTGCTTAAACAACGTTGGACCAATTAGTACTTCAGTTTTTCTGCTAACTTTAGCATAAAAACACATATCAAGTCATTAATAAATTTATAAATGATAGTTAGAAATGTAAAATGGAGAACTAAACAAAACAAATTTAACAGAAGTAATTAGAATATAGTCTAACTATAGTCTATAACTGAAAAAAAATTATGGTTTTGATTCAAAATAATTTTGTAAATACACTATATTTAAAATACTTGACTGAATTTATCTAACTCTTATAACTGAAATCACATGCCTGCTTAAGATAATAACTAGATTTGGATTCGCGATTCGAAAGCGTGGATTTTTGGATTATAAACAAATTTTGATATGAAATAGTATAAACATTATGAGGTTACAAAGTCATATTATATCTAAGAATTTGTTTTTTTTTTTTGAAAAAATATATAATTAATGAATTACTTTATCAAAGATTTTGTATGTAAATTCTTATGTAACTCTCTTTTATACTTGAACATTTTACTCCGACCCTAAAAACTGAACCAAAACCGACCTAAAAATACAAGTTTTGAGAGAGAAATATTTAGGTCTATTATTGAAGATAAAATTTGATGTATCACGTTATTACATAATAATCATAATGTTGGATGATAAAAATATTTAGAGAAAAATTATATCACATGAAATGAGGAGCAATAATCGGATTTATTTGAAATATTATATTGTTAGAATAATTAATGGTAGGAAAAAACTGGTTAAAATAATTAAAATAATACTTAATTACTATTTATAACTATAAATTATAAAATATTTTAAGACTTCTAACTACTGAAAGGTAAATATTAACAAATTATTATGGTTTAGTAATTTTTGAATATTCACATATGTTTGTTCTTTTAAAAATATTATTGGATATGTTTGATAATGTAATTTAGAATTCATTAACACTTTATTCTTATCAATTTCCAAAATAAATAATTAAAATTGAAAATATATTTATAAATTGAAAAGGATGAACCAAACTAAAAGTAATTAAAATTAATTTGATTTTAACATCTAGAACCAAAAAAACATTTATGGTTCAGTTTGGAAGAGTAGATGCAATCTACTATACCAAAAATGAATTACTTAAGATAAAAATATAGTGATATTTTTTTAAAAAAAAAATCTTTTTACTTCCACACTTGCAGATTATAACATTTATAAAAGCAAAATAAAAATTAACTTATTATTATGTTTAAATTATTTGTAGTATTAGCACATGAAAATCACATGGGTTTTATAAGGAAATACAAACAGAAAAAAAACACCACGTTTCATTTTATATACATTTTTTATAAAGGAATTTTAATATAAACATATTATAATTTGAAAAAATATCATAAAAATAAACCAAATTATTACTAGAAACATGCGTGTAGCAAAAAACCTTGATATGATAAACTCCCTTTGTTTCAATATGAGATATATTTGATGTTTCTCACATACTAATAAAAAATATAATAAATGAATATTTTTTATTATCTTTTTCCTATTGTTCTAAGCCAGTAAAAATCTAATAAGTTCAATTAATTTTTTTAAATAATTACAATTAATCATTATTAGTTGAGAAAACATAAATTCAAAATGTAAAAAAAAATGTATTTTCAGAAACAATGATTTCTTTCTAAAACATGTAATTTTATGAAATGGAAGGAGTAATTATCTTGGTGACGTGTACGATGAGTATAGAATTATTTGCAATCGGAAACTGAATTATTCAGATGACAAATTATGAAATAGAAACTCATCTTATCCTTTGGCATGTTTAGGGGGGCATCATCTCAGCTGGACGGAGACGACACAGACACTTGTGCCAGAGAGGGAACACAATCTTCCCAAGTCTTCAAAGGGTAATCTCACAACAAAGCGTTGACTTTGTCGTTAATTGTTAATGCTAACCCCCAAGATATTTGCACCAAGGACTACCATAAATCACTATATAAAGACATAAATGTGCCCCCACCTTTCATATCAAACATAAAAGTCAGCAAAACAAAGGCATATTCCTCTTCTCTTCATAAGCCTTAATTTCTAAAAATTCAGATTCAAGCATCTCCATGGCTATCCACAAGATCCTCTTCACTTCACTTCTAATCTGCTTACTCTTCCAAATTAGTCATGGTGCTACCAAAGAAAGGCTCTTCTCTGACCTGGAGAAAGGTGCACTTGAGGTCACCGCAAAACCCAGCCGAGAAGGCGGTACGTATATATCTTTAAGAACATCCATCATTCCGCACTTCACTTCAACAGATATTTAGGTGTTCAAAATTTCGATTTTGCTTTTAGATTTCAATGTTTTTTTAAAAAATGTTAGGCGATCAGGGTTTGGAACCCCCACTTAGGTTGGAGACTATCCACAGCTCTAGAGGGTAGATTAGTTTAGATTTCGGCCAGCCGGATAAAATAAGCACTTAATAACTAGTTAAATAAAAGAAACAGCTTTAATGACTATCAAATATCATACAGAAGAGCTGAGTAATTACTAATATCAAGGCCGATCAATACTTAATTTATGTTTTTTTCTTTTTTTAGTTTTGGATGCCGGAATTGACAAGTTGAGCATTACATGGAAGCTAAGTTCGACAGCTACAAAAGAGGCTGAATTTAAGACCATCAAAGTAAAGCTATGCTACGCTCCGGTCAGCCAAGTTGATCGACCATGGCGCAAGACCGAAAATGAGCTCTTCAAGGACAAAAGCTGCCCACACAAAATCATTACCAGGCCCTATGATAAATCCCCTCAATCATTCGAATACACCCTCGAACGCGACATCCCTACTGGGACCTACTTTGTTCGTGCCTACGCAGTTGATGCCAAAGACCATGAAGTTGCCTTTGGACAGAGCACGGACGAGCCCAAGTCAATCAATCTCTTCAGCGTTCAGGCTATCAGTGGTCGCCACAAGTCCCTGGATATTGCCTCCGTCTGCTTCAGCGTCTTCTCCGTCTTGGCTCTTCTCGTCTTCTTTGTCAATGAGAAGAGGAAAGCCAAGATAGAGCAGAGCAAATGAGTCGTTTACTTTACGCAATTGCGACGTTGAGCAAAAGGCGTTGACTTTAAATTTTCTTTTCTTTTATCAGTTTGCTTGTTTTGTTGCTTACTTCTGTTTCCTATGTACTTTTATTTACATATTTGTATCATTATATAAGCCATTCATATGGAGCCAAAAAATAATCCTACGGTGGTGATGTGTTGTGTGCTTTCTATATATTTAGTACTCTTTTTTGATATATTCATATACACTGTTCAAAAAGATTGATATTTGTTTTTTATTATGGTAGAAGTAAAATGAGTCAAGAAATTAATGTTCTATGGTAATAATATCCAAAACATCATATATATGTTTCATTTCTTACTCTGAGAGTAAAATTGTAGTTAATTTTATATATCATTCAAATTGTTTATAAATTTATATAGAATTTTCAGAAAATAAATATCTATGGTAATATATATGACTGCTTTATTGAACAAGGATGTTGATAATATACTTTGTTTGTACTTACTTTTTTGTATTTTGGATATAACGAAAAGGAATGTACGGTTACTGTTTTGAAATGAGAAATGTGGGTAATAGTTTCAAAAAAATGTGGTTAGTAGGAACATATGTTTGATAATATAATTTGTATTTGCGAAATTGCAAGGAAAGTTGAAACAATAAATGTTGACGTCCGAGCCTGAAATATATATGATATTTGTTTTGAAAATTTAAGACATTAGCATGATGAATTGCTGACAGCGATCCTGATCGTAATTAAAATTAGAGTTGTAATAAAGATCTAGTTTGGAGTTACTCAAAATGTCAAATATGTCGACTTATATGATAAGATTAACATATGTGTCAAGAATAATATAATATATGTACTGACGTACGATAATGTTTGTGTGAGTATAATAATATACTTAACGGCAATTGTATAAGCACATTAAAAGCGAAAATGTGGGTAAAATTTTGTCCAGATTTTCACAAAATAGTTCTTTTTTCTTTTTGCTTAAAAGATCAACAAAAGTTGGCATACACACTTATGCAAAAGTCAATGTTTTGCTGCCGACTGAAAATTTGGTTTTGTAAATTTGTAATATAAAAAGTTTGCAATATGTCATAAACAATTTAAAAACCGGAGTTGCTGGCCACCGTCTCTTTTTATCTACCATATTGAGCCACTTGTATAGATCACCGAATGGTCATAGTTAGGTAGTCATAATCAATAGAGCTTATCAATACGCTGTGCTGGTTATTATTAAAGATCTTCTGACAGAATAATGAAATACTATATGCTAATTATTAACGATACATCTGACTTTTCCTCTCTGTAATGGTGGTACCCACTCCCAGAAGACATGGAGCCAAACAAGGGCACGTCACACGTTAACAAGCTTAAGTTCTCTCTCTGTACGGAAAAACATTTTTAAAATAAAAGAATATCCAGCATCCAATTGTTTGGTTTCTCCAACCAATCTATTTCATACTAGTATTGACTCCATATGCTGAGAAAATGGGCATTTTGCTTTTGAATATTCGAAATCTACAATTTTAATATTCAAATATTATCCGCGTAAAATTAGTTTTTCAACTAATAGTTCACTGCTCAAAATTCAAAAACAAAATAGTTAATTGTGAATTGGTTAATGGAAAAATAACAGTTTCATTAATTTTTAATAGTTGACTATTCAAATTTTAATTTTGTGGAATCAATGATTAGTTGATGAATAAATATGTGCATATAATAATTTTTAAGTATTTACTTTAGCTACTGAAAATACTTGAGAAAATTAAAACCTTAATATTTTTTAAAAAAAATCATAATTTAAAATATTTTTAAATTAGACACAACTAATATAGAAAGTAACTTTTATTTTTTGAAAGCAATTTCAAACTTTTACAATGATATTAACAATAATTCAAATAATTATAGTTTCATTGATTGTTGATGTATTTCATGTTTGATATCGTTTAGGAAATCATATATTATACATTGGATATCTACTTTAGAATAAGGGTGCGAGTTTTCTATTTCACGGGTTGAACTCTCATAAAAAAACGATAGTACGGACAAGGTGACTGCAACGGCGACAGTATGAACAAGGTTATACGGCTCCGTCATGCCGGCTTTTTTTCCGTCAGAATCCAACAGATTCGGGATGCTTGAGAGCTTTTTGAGTCCTCTTAGCCTCTCCTTGTTACTTGTTTCTAAAGCAGCTAGAAGATATTTGAGATTGTTTGGCTCAAAGGACCTGGATAACTTTTCTTTCTTAACACTTTCTCTCTTTGCTAAAGCAGTAGTTTTACTCCTCGCCATCGTTTTCACTTGAAGTTATGGTTCAGCCAGTCAATCCTTACTCAGCACTCTGATTCTTTTTTCTCCTTATCTAGGTCCAAGCTCCTAGAAAGGACGATTTGGTGATTTTAGGCTCTGGTTTTTCTCCTTCTACAGCTAGGCGCAAGTCTCCTTACCTGTCTTACTTTATTAATACCGATTTCAACACCTTTTTTCACAACAATGACATCAACTCACGCCACAAGTATCTATGGGAATTCAACTCAAGCTCATACAGATGACGAGGATGATCTGGCCATACTGCCAAACGTCGACTATTCAGAGTTGATAGCACAGTTCAAACTCAGTGTGGTTGGGAGGATTTTCAACCCTGAACGCAGTGTTGAGGCTCTCATATCTATACTTCCACGTCCTAATATATGGGATGTAGAAGGAAGAGTGAGAGGTCTGGATTTGGAAAATCAAAGGTTCCAGTTTGATTTTGACTCAGAGGGGGACTTGATTAAAGTCATGAACAAGCGACTTTGCCATTTTAATAAATGGGCCATCTCTCTAGAACGTTGGATCCCTCATGTTGGAGATACCTTCCCCAACACCATGACCTTCTGGATAAGTGTTATTGGTATCCCAACACATTTCTGGATGGATCCTATCTTTGATTCTTTGGGAGGAAGACTTGGGACAGTGGGGCTCATTGATGCAAAAGCGGCAAAAGTTCAAGTTACAATAAACATGGAGAGGCCCCTGAAGTTTTCTCTACGCGCCCAAGTCCCTTCAGATGAGATTGTTCCTATTAAACTTGTGTATTCTAATCTCCACCGCTACTGCAGGAACTGCCGCCATGTCTTTCATGAAATTGACTCCTGCCCTCAACTCTCCAAAGCTGAAAGAAAAGAAAAAAACTTAACTACAGAGGACAGGGAGTTAGCTCATTCGAACAGATTTGAAGCTCTCATAACCGGAGGTAACTCTAAGCGCTCGCTACCTCAGTCTTCCAAGGATAGGCACGGTGGGGAGGACACTCGTAGGGACACCCGAGACAGCGTTTGGAAACGCATTGACTCCCGGTATGATCCACGAGTTGATTCTCACCCATCTTCAAGCTATGATCATCACCCTGAACATAAGTCTAGTGATCGAGAAAGGGCTCCTGTTATCAGAGATTCATATAACAAACGAAGATATTCTGAACCTTATGTATCAAGTAAGCAAAGGGAAGCATCGAGAAGAGATAGAGAGAAAGACAGGGGAAAAGACGCTTCTGCTACCCGTAATGACACTCGAGACATGTCTAAGGAGACAGTTCGCAGCCCAATTGTTGCTGCAGCTATTCCCCAAAGATTAGTGTTGAACATTCCTGCTATACCAGCGAGACAAGCTACGGTTTCTCCGGAGCAAACAAGGGAGAGACCGTGGAGACTTAATCTCTAGGGACGAGCCTCCTCTGACCTGAAACTCAAAGGAAAAGTCTATGATTTAAATGATACTTCAGATGAAGGAAATTCTGCTAAGAAAAGTTTAAACTTTAAGGCTCCGTCTGACCCACCATCGATCACTCTCCCTTCTCTCCCTTCACTCCCAGGAGAAGGGCCATCGCTTAAAGAGAATCCAAAAAGCTGGTACGAGATGACTCTAGAAGAGGAGGGAGCTATGGCTGAAGAAGCAGTGACAACTCGCGATACTACACTGAATTTAAATGATGCTGAGAATGCTGAATTACCTCTTATAGAAAGAATCCTTGAAGAAGAGGACTGGTTGACGATGGCAATAACTTTGGAGATGCAGATGGGAATGACTTTGAAGAGGATGATGCAGCTTTGATGGTTGTTGATGATGATGATTTATTTGGTGAAGATTTGCTGATCGAGGAAAATAAATCCTCTGCGATTGAAGCCCTTACAAATACATCCCCCATCACAGTGGCTTCTCTTAAATCCACCAAGGGGTCTGGCTCAGGAAAGTCTAGTCCCTCCATCGCTGATACACAAACCCCCAGGAAGGCAACTGTCTCTACTTCAACTCGCGTCTCAACATCGTCGGGGAAGATTAAGAAAGCTACACGCAGTCCTTTTGTCGGAGTCTCGCGGAGACAGCGTAACCTTCTTGTGGGAATTGGATCTCCTAAATCCACAGTAGCAGATCATGGGCCGAGGGTGTCAAAATCAGGCCATCTGGGCCCAAAAAATTTGGACGTTCATAATCAGAGCCGAGGGACAGCTTTAATAAAAAACAAATCTTCTAAAGTGGCCAGCGAAAGGCCACCGAAAGCCTCATAATGAACACGATTGCTTGGAATTGTCAAGGAGCCAGAGCTCCTTTGACAAAGGAACACCTTCAAGAACTTTATCATTGTTTTCTACCTGATTTTTATTTTTATCGGAGACAAAAAACAATCGGTCCTTTTTGCAAGATGTGCAAGTTTCTTTTGGATATGATCGAGTCTACACCATCGATCCATGTGGTCGTAGCGGGGGTTTAGCTCTTTTTTACATGGATGATCCAGCTGTTACTATTTTGTATGCAGATAAACATATGATAGACATCTAATCTACTTTTTAAGGGCATGCTATTTATATGACTTTTGTTTATGGTGATCCGGTTATTAAAAACCGTGATGTAGTTTGGGAAAGACTAACACGAATGAGTTTAAACCGGAGCCAATCATGGTTTATGATTGGTGACTTCAACGAGATTACGGGTAATCATGTAAAGAGAGGAGGAAGGAGACGACCAGAAAACACTTTCATCCCTTTCCGTACCATGTTGGATAATTGCGGAATGATAGGATTCTCATATAAAGGAAACTCTTTTTCGTGGGTGGTTAAAAGACGCTCAGGAAAAGTGAAATGCAAACTAGATAGAGAAGTTGCAAATGAAGAATGGCACTCGTTATTTCCGGCATCAAATGTGGAGTTCTTACAACTTTGGGGATCAGAACATAGACCGGTGTTAGTACGTATACAATCTAGACACAGAAGATCGAGGAAGAGTTTTAGATTTGATAAAAGAAACTTGGGGAG